TGGTCATTGTGTTTTGTTTTTTATTAAATTAGGATGCGGGTTCAAAACAAGAAAATGACGAATGATCGATCCAAACACTCCAAAATCGAGTTTTGAACCGACCATGGGCCAAAAAGTTAAAACGAACACAACCTCAATATTTATTATAGTGAATTATGAACTTAAGAATGAAATTATAAATCTTTAAAATGTTAATTACAATCATTTATCGTTAATGAGGGTTACAAATAAAGGGAAAATTTAATGATGAGTGTTACATTCATTTGCTCTCTTGCTGTGTTATTATAATGTAATTTAATACATTATTATTAATAATTATTAGAATAATTATCTTAGTGTGACATTCGATTGATTTTATATTATGCACATATTTTTTTTATATGACATTAGTTTCAAACTAAATGATCTTACCATCCAACAAAATAATGCAAATAATATACCATTCATAAACTTAATCTAATCATATCCAAATCCTAATGTAATATTTAAATCATAGTAAATTGCCAAAATAGTCTGGCACTTCTATAAATTTAGAGACTAAAACAACCACAATAGTCGGGGACAATTTTGACACTTTATTTATTCAAAATTTAAAATTCTCAGACTAAAATATAATTAAAGCGAATATTTTGTTTAGACGAACACAAAAATATTATAAACATTCTGATCTAAATCTAAATAACCAAATCAAAATACTTCAACTTTGATATCTATGATTGTGAGAATTAAATGTTGTGAGAAACGACGACAATAAAGCAAAAAACTAAATCGAGAAAAAATGCACCAAAAAAATACAGCGAAAACACACAGATTTACGCGGTTCGACAAATCTCCTACATCCACGGAGCTACATAAGATTTTATTGGCTTTAGGAATTACACCCGTCGATCACCTTGAAGATTACAATAAAACACTCTTTCTCTCTTTCTCTCTCCTCTGCTCCTCTTATCTCTCTCTCTACCCGAGAGCTTCAAACCGAAGCACATCATAAGAAGAATCTGGAAAGCTATCAATACCGAAGAGGAAGTCTGGGAAACCAAATCCTGAGGGAGCTAACAAGGGGAGCTAGCATGTCTATTTATTAATTTCATCATGTTATTATGCTCATTAAGGAATTAATCAAATAATTAATGAAGCTCATTAATTATTTCATTTTCTCTTCTGCAACAAATCATTGTAGGGATTAAGAGCAATTAATTTTGAGTATCAAATCCAATTTGTTGTCAAACATGAGAAAATGTCAATTTAAACACGGTTTTCATATTCGTAACAAATCTCTCACTTGATGACTGGTGGACTGGCGGCAACATCTACTAGCTGTGTCGTCTTTTTCTTCAAACGTGATATCATCCACCTTCCTCCACTTTCCTCTACCTTTGCAACTCAAAGCCCTGGTCTCCATGTCAGAAGACCAACTAAAACTGCACATAACTTTTGTTTCTCAAGATTAACATCCTTAGTTTGCATATCAGTGTCAATATAGTCTTGTACCTCCAAGCTCTTTCCCAGGTTACTCATGAATTTGCTTACAATTCTCAGTATTTGGGCAATATCCTGCCTCAGCTGAAGGTCTTTTCTAACAAGTCCAACATTGTACCTCTTACTATCATCAAAAGCAGTTTTCACTCAGTACATCCACTTGTTATGCAATTCCTTCTTCCATGGTGGAAATTTTGTCAGCTCTCACTTGCTTGAACTTTCATCTTGCAATATTTCTTCATAGCTCTGTGGTTTTCTACCATCTGTCCATACAATATTCGGTTTTCCTGCCTTTGGTGCTCTGTCTCCTTTCAGGAAACTGATTTTCTTCTGCTTCCCCATAATGCACATTTGACTCATGTGTCCACACATGAGTAAACATTTAGTCATATATAATGTGTCAATTTTCTTACCCTAACGTAGTACTAATGCTCCTTTAGTAACCTTTTAGGTACTATTTGAGAACGCTATTGAATGACCATCCTCATTGATCTGCCCAACATAAATGAGGTTTTTCTTCAATTCAAGAACATGTTTGACTTTTTACAAAGTCCATTTGCTCTTATTAGGGAGTGCAATATCAACGTCTCAAATCCTCATCACGTCCAAAGCTTTTCCATCAGTCAGATGTACCTTCCCAAAGTCGCCTGAAATATAATTTCGCATCAACTCCTGGTGGGAAGATGTATGAAAGGAAGCCTCTGAATCTAGTATCCAGTCATCAACAAAATTGTGAACAATTAGCAATAACCCATCGTATATCTCTTTATTTACCACATTTGTATTATCATTCACTTTCTTCTTGGGATTCCTTCAGTTTCATTTTATGTGGTCAGTCTTGCCACAATTCTAACAGGTTGCCTGCTGATCATAATTTGATGTTGATCTTCCTATGTTAGAGTTATTGTCATGTGATATCCCTCTGAAATCAACAGTCAGTGTCGAACTCGAACCCGAGGTCTTCCCAGAATCTTTCCTACGCACCTCCTCAGCCAAAATCAAATCATTAATATCATCATATTTTAATTTGGACTTATCTGCAGAACTGCTAACTGTCATCCTCATGGATTTTTGTAACCATTTGTCAATGATGTCAATAATATCAACGCACGTATATCATCATCAAAATCAATTTCAACAGACGACAATTGATTTATGATATTATTGAAATCATTCAGATATTGTGCAACATATGTTTCTTACTCCATTTTAAAATTGAACAGCTTCTTTATCAGATGCACCTTGTTATTCGTTGATGACTTTTCATACATATCAGATAAATCCGCCATGAGATCTGCAGTAGTCCTCCTGCAGTAGTCCTCTCTTTGATGATGACGTAGTGGGCAACGAACCTCGACAGGGTTAATCGTATAACCCCTAGAACTCGTCGATCAAACAAATTCCATTTCACCCCATCCATTTTTTTCCTGTTTCTTTCCTAATAACAAAAGATGAAGTTTCTTCCCACAGAGATAATCCTCTATCTACATCCTCCAGTAAGCAAAATATGTATCATTGAACTTCTCGATCTCGAATGTCATCACTTCGTCTCCGCTCATTGTCCTTTTTTCAACCTCGAATCAAAGCTCTGATATCAGTTGTTGTGAAAAACAACGACAATAAATCAAAAAACTAGATCGAGAAAAACACAAAATAGAAAAATACAACGGAAACACACAGATTTACGTGGTTCGGCAAATCGCCTACATCCACGAAGCTGCAGAGGATTTTATTGACTTGAGGAATTACACCCGTCGATCACATCGACGATTACAATAAAACAGTCTTTCTCTCTACCTTTTTATCTCTCCTCACCTCCTCTCCTTCTCTCTCTCTCTGCCCGAGAGATTCAATCCGGAAGCACACCAGAAGAAGAACCTGGAAAGCTATCAATGCCGAAAAGGAAGCCTGGAAAACCAAATCCTGAGAGAGCTAACAAAGGGGGCTAGCATGCATATTTATTAATTCCATCATGCCATTAGACTCATTAATGAATTAATCAAATAATATATCATTCATAACTTAGTCTGATCAAATCCTAATCCTAATGTAATATTAAAATCATAGTAAAGTGCCAAAATATTTTGGCACTTCTATTAATTTAGAGACTAAAATGACCACATGCAAATAGTCGGGACAATTCTGACACTTTATTTATTCAAAATTTAAACTCTAATACTAAAGTATACTTAAAGTGAATATTTTGTTTAGACGAACACAAAAAATATTATAAACATTTCGATCTAAATCTAAATGACCAAATCAAAATACTTCAACTTTGATATTATTAGACCTCCTATATATCAAAAGAATCTGTGAGAATTAACAATATCATTCAAATAGTGTGTTTAAGAATTATAGTTAAATGATGGAAATGACATTTTAAAATATTATAAATAGACCCACACTCTCATATAATATATATATATATATATATATCCAGAAGGCCAAAAAACTACATCCAACAATCATTGTCTGCAATTATCGTCATACAACCACTATAACCCGATCGTCATGGTATGTTTATTGTAGCTTCATCGTCATAATTATCTTATATTCACCCAACTTGTATTGCCCGACCATCATTAATTGAAAGATGTAGCCCAATCACAATCATACGTTTGTTATTATGTTAATTATTAACACTATTTGCAATATAGCAAACAAGCAAAAAATTTTAATTTGGGAAAAAAAAAGAATACAATTTTCATGAAATTTAATGATATCAACTAATAGCTTGGATATTAAATCATGATGAACCAATTTCACCAGTCAATTAATAATTACCATGATGCTTTAACTAATAAAAAATAATTAATAAAATTTACTCAAGCCAATCATGGCTAATACACCCAATTCATCATTAATTAATCACTTGAATAATAAATGGTAAATATATCATAAAATAGCTATAAAATATTTTATTTAAGTAGCCATTGCATGATTGTTGTTTATATATTCAGCTTAGGGGCTATTTTGAAGCTTGTTTTAAAGGTGTAAGGTAAATTAAATCCAAATAATTATAGAACTCGGGCATATGTTGAATTTAATTTGAATAAAAAATGTAATTAAAAATTAGCTAATTTGATCTTTTTCCAATACATAATACAAAATATTTTGGTGGTTGCGTGCAGTCTGTGAAAAATTATTACGTGGGTGAACCACACGTCTGGATGACGGTTCAGATGCAATTTCACCGCATGTAGTACGTAATATTTTCTCGCCGCCTGCAGTTATTACAACTCATTTACTAGCAATTGATCGCCAGCAGCTAGTTATCACGACTAATGATCACAATGATTATTGGCCTTCATTGAGCTTTATATTCATTTCATTATACTTTAAATAAAAAAAAATATTACTATTTATATATATTTAATCAAATTATTCTAAATCATTTCAAATATAGTATATCTTTACCTTTCTATATTTTAATTATCATGTATTTTTTTTTTCATCAATTTAAGTGACATTTTAATGATTTTTGATGAATAAGAATTAAGAGAGTATGATTATGATAATCAATTGATTATAGGCTTCCCCAAAAACGCGTTCGGCCGCCAGTGTTTTTGTCCCCAATTATTCCCGATCGCGGTTTCTGTTTCTCCCTATCCACTACCTGACCATCGATAATCCATCAATGGCGGCGAACTCGGCATCGTCTTCGCCCCCAAAACCTTTTACACCAGCAAATGGCAGCGGTGATCACATCTCTCTGCACAACACCCAAAACCCTAGCCTCTCCTCCCCCTCGATTGCTCCCTCTCCTTCCTCCATCGATCTACCCCAGATGCCTTCCCCTCAGCTTTCCAACTCCCAGCCCCAGATCACTCCCACCGGGACACTGGATTTCTCGACGAAGACATCGGCGACGCCTCAGCAACAGCAAATTCAGCAGCAGCAGAGCAATATTATGTCATCCAACCCCAACTTTCCAATGCAGCCTGGGCTCCAGCGATCGGGTTCAATGCAACGGGTGAACCAGATACAGCAACAGTTCGGCACAGCTATGGGTGCAGCCGGCGCCTTGAGGCAGGGGATGTACGGCGGCCAAATGAACTTTTCAGCGCAGCAGCAGCAGCAATTGAGCAGCGGAATGGCTAGGGCGGCCATGATTGGTCAAGCTGGACAGCTCCCCATGCTGCCTAATCAGGCCGCGGCACATTTCAATATTCAATCGCAAATTCTGTCTCAGGTAATTTTTTGCTGTAGGATGAAGTGATTTCGGCCTAATTGTCTTTGACAATCATACCTAACGATAAGCATTTTGTGTGAGCTTGGAAATGCTCGCGGATAATGCTTCAAACATATTCATGAACTTAACTAGAAATTGTGTTATGAAATAACGATACAGTATACAAGATTAGAGGTACAGTAGATGTGCCTTTCACCCTTATGAGAATTTTTTTGTCTTAATCATAAAATGCCTGAAAAAAGCACGATTATCTAATTCAAATATTTAGGGACCGTTAAAAAATCTTTATATGCATCCTAATTGTGTATGTCTTGTTGATAATTTTTGTTTTTACATCTTGAGAGCCGTATTTTAGAATTTAACAATTTTAAAATATATATAGAGTTGTAGATTGTATAAAATCACCAACACTGTTATCATTAGTTTTATACAAATTTTTTGAGATAGTCATATGTCTCCTCTTTTGAGGAACACCCTAGCATTACAAATCATTGAATTTAGTTTCATCTTAGTGGAATCATGGAGTTAGCTTTGGATTTGTTATTACTATTGACCAAATATCAACCCTTAATTCCTTTCAGCTATGCCTGGGCCTGTCAATGATGATTTTTTGACAACAACAACAAGAACAACAACAAAGCCTTAATCTCACTACGTGGGGTCGGCTACATGAATCCTTTTTCTCCATTGCGTCCTATTTAGTGTCATATTTTCATTTAGTTCTTATAAATTGAGATCCTTTTTTATACAATAAGTTCAAGCCTTCCTAGGTCTACCTCTGCCTTTCTTAACATAAGTCAAATCTAAAACATCTACTGTCCTAATCGGATCATAAGATGTTCGACGTTATGTGACCAAACCATCTAAGAAGACTCTCTCTAATTTTGTCCATCATTTGAGCTACACCAACCCTATCACGAAGATATTAATTTCATTTTGTCTCTAAGTGTAAAGTCACTCATCCACCTAATCATTCTCATCTCGACAACACTTAACTTAGTATTATGCTTCTGTTTTAAAGGCCAACATTCAACGTCATAGAACATTGCAAGTCTCACCACCATCTTATAAAATTTTCCTTTCAGTCTAAGCAGTACTTTTCTATCACGCAAAAGGCTCGAAGCATTCCTCCACTTCAACCAACCAACGTGAATTCTACAATTAACATCCCCATCTATATCGCCATCACTTTGAACAACAGACCCTAAATATTTAAATCGTTCACATCTTTTAATAAATTGATCACCCAAAGTTACACTTCTGTTACTAGAGCTACTACTACTAAAACTACATTCCATGTATTCAATTTTAGTTCTACACCATTTCTAGTGTGACTCTTCATATAATACCAAAGTCTACAACAACAACAACAACAACAAAGCCTTAATCCCACTACGTGGGGTCGGCTACATGAATCCTTTTTCTCCATTGCGTCCTATTTAGTGTCATATTTTCATTTAGTTCTAGTAAATTAAGATCAT